ATTATTTTTCTTAAAATGAATGAAATATCTGCATTATTTTATTATTTTATATGCATAAAGGTGAAGGGGCAAATAGTCATTTTAATCTAATAAGGGGTAAGTGTAATTTTTCAAATGTAAGGGAGAGATTCATATTAAACAAAAACTTCAAGGGGTGTCAATGTAATTTATTTTTTTATTTTGGACTAGATAAAGCTGCCACGTGGCATGACGTGAAGGTTGACACCAAGTCCAACTTTCACTTAATATAGAAGATAGATGATCCAAATTCGAGGGTGTTGTTCACGCTCGTGAGATTCACCAAGAATTTTATTTCGATAATTCAAACTGTTTATTTTTTAATAATGCATAATTTGGATTCAAGGGTATTGTCCAGACTCGTGAGGCTCACCACAACTGTTATTTCAATAATTCAAATCGTTTATTTTGTAGAGTCCTTTGTGTATATAATCCACACAAAAAATTAGGTTGATCTAATATTCGTAGACTATTTAATTTATTGTGTTTGTCGTAAAAAAAAATAAAAATGAATGATCTATTTTTAAAAACATACTTATATTCTTTTTTTTTCTTTTTTCTTTTTTGAGTCAAATATGATATATTATATAAACTACAATTATCTGATAAACCCTTCTCTTTTTTTTCTTCTTCTTTTTTTTTTTTTTTTTGGTAATATATTGATATGCCCCTATGTTAAGATATCGACTAGCCACTCTATTTCACACTAGAAGAAACGAATAATGAAATATTAATTATCAAAATACGACCATGGGTGGTGAGCCTCACCATCCTCAGGCAATCTCTGGACTAGAGAGAGGACCCAGCTCATTTACACTTATTCAATTTATAGAAGGAATGGTGGTGAGCCTCACTGTCCTCAGGCAATCTGTTGGACCATTTTAATATCTTATATTTATTTATTGGTTTATCTTTTTCATAAATGGGGTTTTATTACTTTGGTAACCTCTTGGTCATAAATGGAGGTTAAATAGAATTCATGAACTTGGTTAATGGTCATTATTTTGGTGTAACCATTTTCTTGTTTAATGGTCATTATTTTTGGTGTAACTGTAAGGTCCTAATGGCCTGTTATATATCAGTAGGCAGCAGCGGGTTAAACATGATTTTTTTCATCATCTTTTCTTTTGAAACCCTTGAGCCAACTCTCTCTCTCTCTCTAAACTTGTCTTCTCTCTAAGAATTGATCTACCTAGGGTGAGTATCTAACCTTAGTCCTTTATTAAAAAGATAGAGTGGGTTGAGGGCTTCGTTTTAATCTGAGAAACTTGGGATTTGGAGCACGTTGGTCTTTGGTCATCATCTCCGTTTGAGTTCTTCACTTCGAGGTAGGGATTCCTACTCATCTTTATGAGCTTTAACCTAGACGTTGGGCTTTTGTTTAAATGGTTTGATTTGGGAAGTTAGGGTTTTACCAGAAAAAATCAATAATGGAATTGGAGATCTCAACAAGCCTTTCAAGTTCAAAGGAGTTCATTGTAGAGGTGGAAATGAAAAGTTCTTTTTTACCTTAGCCTTTTGAAAGTTGCATATGTTCTTACTGAGAAGGAACCAAACAAAATCCCAACCGAGGAGATGAATGATGAAGACTACGAGGCACATGAAGCAAATGTGACTTCCTACAATATAGATAAGTATAAATGCCAAATTTTATCTCTTAAATTGCCTTGCTGATTAATTTTATGATTATTACTATGACACCACTTGCATGCTGCCTTCTATTAATTTTTGGCATGCTCGCTTGTGTCATATAAATAGTAAATATGTGGGAATCATGAGTAGTTTAGAATTAATTCCTAAAGTGACAAAAAATTTTGAGAAATGTGAAGTTTGCAGTAAAGCAAAAATTACCAAGAGGCCTCATAAAAGTGTTGAAAAAAATACCGAATTGCTAGAATTATTTCATACTGATTTGTGTGAGTTTGAATGAATTTTAACTCGGGGTGGTAACCGATATTTTATCACTTTTATTGATGATTTTTCAAAATATACAAACGTATATTTATTAAAAAATAAAAGTGATGCTTTTGAAAAATTTAAAGAATTCCTTCTTGAAGTGGAAAATCAATTCGGTAAAAAGATTAAAAGAATTGGAAGTGATAGAGGCCGGGAGTATAAATCTCTAGGATTCAACTCTTTTGTTCAGTCATTGGGAATTAATTGACTTGACGAATGCTATGCTTATTGATTCAGGTGCTCCCTCAAATTTTTGGGGTAAGGCTATTTTGACAGCTTGTCATGTGATAAATAGAGTGCCACACAAAAAGACTAAAATTGTCCCTTATGAGTTGTGGCGGAGGCATAAACCAAATCTAGGTTATTTGAGGGTTTAGGGTTGTTTAGCTTTTGTGAGGCTTGCAGATCCTAAATGACCTAAATTGGGTGAACGAGCTACCACTTGTGCCTTTCTTGGGTATGCGTTGCATAGTACAACTTATAGATTTTTTGATATGGAAAATAATATTATTTTTGAATCAGGTGATGCTATTTTTCATGAAAATAAATTTTCTTTCAAATCTAAAAATAGTGGGGGCCAAATAATATCTGAAAATATTTTATCTATGCCTAACTCTTCTACTCCTTCGCAAGTTTTTCAAGAAAAAGAAAATTTTCAAATCCAACCAAGAAGAAGTAAACGAGCTAGAGTTGAAAAAGATTTTGGCCCTGACTATTATCTTTACAATGTGGAAGAAATTCCTCATACGGTACAAGAAGCTTTATCATCACCTGATGCTATTTACTGGAGAGAGGCTGTAAATGATGAGATAGACTCACTACTTTCAAATAAAACATGGAAGTTAGTAGATTTACCTCCAGGTTATAACACTATTGGGTGTAAATGGGTCCTTCGTACAAAACTTAAATCGGATGGAACTATAGATAAATATAAAGCGAGGCTTGTCGCTAAAGGTTTTAAGCAACAAGTTGATCTTGATTTCTTTGATACTTTTTCTCCGGTTACTAGAGTAACATCCATTAGACTGTTGATTGCAGTGGCTGCAATTCATGATTTAAAAATTCATCAAATGGATGTAAAAACAGCATTTTTAAATGGAGATCTAGATGAGGAGATTTACATGGACCAACCTAAAGGCTTTGTGGAGCCTGGCCAAGAAAGCAAAGTGTGTAAGCTAACTAAATCCCTTTATGGTTTAAAACAAGCTCCTAAACAGTGGCATGAGAAATTTGATTCCAGCATGCTTGAGAATGGCTATAAGACTAATGAATGTGATAAGTGCATATATTATAAAACTTGTGAAAATGCACATATGATTATTAGCCTATATGTGGATGATCTACTTATCTTTGGCTCTAATTTACATATTATAAATGAGACTAAAAATATGCCTAATAGCCATTTTGATATGAAAGATCTTGGTGAAGCTAATTTTATTTTGGGAATTAAAATTACCAAGACTAAGGATGGCATTTTTCTTGATCAGTCGCATTATGTTGAGAAAATTTTAAAGAAATATAATTTTCTAGACTGTAAACATGTTGCTACTCATTTTGATGCAAGCATACACTTATCTGTTGTAACAAATGAAAAAAAAGTGATTAATCAAAAGGAATATGCTAACATGATTGATAGTTTGAGATATGATACTGACTGTACTAGACCTGACATTGCATATACTGTTGGAGTACTTAGCACGTTTACTAGCAAACCAAGTCGAGATCATTGGCTAGCCATGGGAAGAATTATGAGATATTTATTTGGAACAAAAAATTATGGTTTGTTTTATAACAAGTATCCTGCGGTACTTGAGGGATATAGTGATGCCGATTGGAACACTTTGTCAGGTGATTCTCTCTCTACCTCTTATGATTACTATGACACCACATACATGTTATCTTCTATTAATTTATGGCATGCTTGCTTGTGTCATATAAATAGTAAATATGTGGGAATCATGAGTAGTTTAGAATTAATTCCTAAAGTGACAAAAAATTTTGAGAAATGTGAAGTTTGCAGCA